GTAGTGTACAGCATCGATTTCTGTGGAACCCAGTAGCTGTCAAAACTTTCACATTTTTACGAATAACTCGGAAATCGTAAATTTTTCAGGTAAAACGTTTGACACAAACTTAACTTAAATTTTGACGACAAATCTGAAAATGAATGAAAAAAGGGGCGGTTCCATTTAAAAAACCAAAGTTGGTAACTACCACACGTTTATGATACACCCCGTATATTGGAAAGTAATTTTAAAATGTGGACCTTTTAAACATGAAAAACTTTCGTAGGACGTATTTTCTTGTAAAGTTCATATTTACTGAGATATCGCACTTTGACGCACTAATGAGCAACCCTGTATATAGAGTCTTCTCCGATAAGCTTTAGAAGGTCAGCTGGCAGTTCGTCAGCTCCTGCTGCCTTTCCGGGCTAACAATTTTTAATTACATGTTCTCTTTCCTTAACATTTGTGGGCGAGTATACCTACTCCATGTCTGGGTTCGCAAGTTCAATGAGACTGCCGTTGAAACGTTTTTGTACATATCCGATCCACCTTGCCAGTTTGCCTATTGGTTCTACAATCAAGTAGACGTTCTTGTTTACCGACATATCGTCTCTTTGCTCTCCCAGTCATTGCTTTTATCTTTTTGTGCATATTGAAAACATCGAATTTGTTGTGATAGTCTTCAACCTCTCGTCATTCATCAAGTAGCGATTTCTCCTTGGCCTGCCTCATTTTAGTTCTGATGTCATTGTTTATGGTCTTATAGTATTGCATTTCATTGTTCATATATTGACCTCGAATCATCATCAGGTCCAGGATCTCCTGTATTATCCATTCCTTCTTCTCTTCTTTTATTGATTTCAATTCTGCATTACCTACATGCTTTGGTACTTGTTTTATGCTTCTCCATTGTCGGTCTATAGAGGTATTATAATTATCGTTACGTCTTAGTTCGTTTAATTTGTTGTTTATGTTCATCTCAACATTCGTGTACACTTCATTGTCCTTACGTTCTAGGGTCTAGACGATCCGTAGTTGTGCTCCTGAAACAAAACAAAAAAACAACAAAATTTTCTCAATTGACTTCAACATTTATCATTATTTTTAAATACAGCATTCAAAAACCACTAGAATTGTTCACGTATTCATAGCTGCCTAAACTTCTTTCAACTGATAACAAACGTATAAACTTAAAGTCGAGGTTTCTTTCTTTGAGCTATAACATTTAGTAAATTTAATTTTCAAATTTATGGGAGTAAAGTAAGTATGTTTCTTACAAATAATCAGTTTAGCGAACATTGAATATAAAATCCCTATTCGTTTCTCCATACGGCGTCCTAAATGAATCAAACAACTTAGTAATAGTAACCAGAGTTCCGATATTTTAAACCTAGACATCCGATATACTATTTTTAAGTTCCGATTTGCCATCACCAGAAACCTACTGCACTCGCTTTATCTTATGTTTCGACAAGATTGCATTTGCTTTTGCATACAAGAATGAACTTTGACAATCATGAAATAATCATGACTCAACATGAAAATAAAGATTAATTATAGACCATGCAGATTCCTTGAAACCAGCATGTCATTTTCAATGTAGCAGTTCTTCAGATTAGATAAATCAGATGTTTGAACTGTTGTCAATGTGGCTTGAAATTGTTACCAATGATGCGATGTTTCATTCCGCCTGCAACCCACATCACAAAATCACCATCCAATTGCCATTGTTCCAAAATCCAATAGCGCTTCGTTGCTCATAGTATTCCGGCTTTAGCCCTTTTCAACTTTTTTCAACCCCCCCAATTCAACTTTGTTGAATCCATAAAGCGTCAAATCCTTTGTTACAATTCGATGCAAAGTGATTGTGGAGGTACCAAAATCCTGAGCTCTTTGCCGAATTCACGAAAACAAAATGTACTAGTATAATTAGGAAAAGGACCGCAGCAAGCGCCCTTTTAAACCTTCAATAAATGTTCAATAAAATTAAGATTTTCAATGTGGCTTGAAATTGTTTCTACAGCTGTTTAGGTGTTCTATAAGTTGCGCAATGGATCGGTCAACTAGTTTTAAAAATTGCCCCAAAACGTAAAGAATAGGAGTGATCGGATTTCCTTAGCTTATACTTCAAAAGTCATTCCATTCGGATTTCACCGAATTTTTGTTCAATTGTTGTGCAGTCAATTATCAATTAAGTTCCTGTTCATTTCAAGTTTTCCTTTTTCATCTCTCATAATCTCACTTTTGCAAAAAACGGAAGCACTGACACAACTGTTTAATATATGCCTTCTTAAAGTTCACCTTTCTTTAGATTGGTGTATTTTACATACTAAAGAAGAAATAATAAAATAGTTAACAGTGTTATTAACGATTTAGCATGTGAAAAATTAACTGAAAGACTCTAGAAATCAATGCCAGAGAGACGATTTTAAGAAATTTGGATAGCGTGGGCTCAAAGTTCATAGCTTCCGCTTTAGCTGTTTCAAAAGGACGCCAAAATACTGTGTGAGCTACAAAATTTTAAACTGAAACAACGAAAAATAATATACTGCATTAAGAAGTTTTACCAAATTTGAATGCAATGAGAAAATAAAAACCATGGTTGTAATAGAAACAAAAAAATCGACAAATGGAAATTAGGTTGCTGAGACAAGTAATGCATTACATTACTTATTTACTGCACCAATTAAGTTAAATCACATATTCTTCAATGTTTCGATAAATTTTGTATTTGCTCTCCTTGCTGGTCAATTTACTTAGGACAGTGTTCTAGTTAAAGGTATGGTTACAGGGACTTAATGGGCAAACACTTAATTGACGTGACGTCATGCAGCACAAAGAGCCCTTAATAGAGAGAAAGTGAATTTAGCCGGGGTAATTTACCTTTTTGCTAATTTATTTTAAATTACTATAGGCTGGTTAATTTGCTCTAAACCAGTAATATTTGTATAGAAACTGACATCGATGAAATTCGATATGAGGGCGAACTTCAATTATTACTATTTGAAATATTAGAACATAAATTTGTCAAGAATTCTGAGATTTATCAAAAACAGCATGTACTGTCAGAAAATTATGGTTGTTCATTTAAAAAAATTGTAGCAAATAGTTGGATAATAACACGCCAATCAAGAGCCATTTTCTGAAATTAAAGCTTGAGTGGCACAAAAACATGCAAATTTGTTTCCGAACTGTGCATTTTTCACTATTTTATGATCTTATAGCAATCTGATTCTATGATAGTTGAAAATTTGAGGTGCCATAAAATTTAGTGTTCTAAAGTGTGTTTCTCTAAGTCACTTTGTATCGACACAAGTTAATCTCAAGTGTGAATTAACCCCTGTTTTTTTAGAGTTACCTGGCTCCAGCGAAATATCCATCCCACGAGAGAATTCCCAGTTAGGTTTTCCTCATTAAGCCCCATTGAGTGCCCTTTTAATTATTTTTATTTCAATTTTAATTTTGCTTCCACTTTAATCATTCATCTTTGAAATTCGGTTCTCGGTTTGGACGTTGTTTGAAGAATTATTGTTTGTCCATGACTTACTGATGTTATCTGAGAGGTTTTTCTTTTGTGGTTATACACCATTGAGTTGCCAGTCCTGTTGCTGTCCAGCAAAATATCCATTCCAAGAGACAATTCCCAGTTCGGTTTTTATGATTAACCGTCATTGGGTTTAACTTTAGTCTGATCTTTCGGTTATTTTTATCTTGATTCTACTTTCATTTTTATATTACTTGTAATTTTATCACTTACCTTTTAAATTCGCTTGGACAATTGGGTTTGTGATTGTTTGTCCATCACTGACCTAGGCCGACCCTGTTGCTGTCCATGCGAAACATCGATAATTCAATATTTCTTAAAATTCTTAACTTTTTTGGCTTATCAACTCCCCTTCCTGATCCTCTAGTTCCGATCGCTGAAAATTGAAGGCAAAGTCGACCTTCAGTTAACTGCAGAAGCTAGTGAAATTTTCTCCTTGTGACGACTCCAGAGAGGAATTTGAATTATGTGACCAATATTTTCATCTGTTTGTTCCAGTCTTATTTTATGGTTTGTAAGTTCTTGATGCTTACGTGGTTACTACTTTTGCGTTGTTGCCTGATTTAGTGTCGCTTGCCCATTTATATTTTATTGCTCTTTACCACGAATTTTCAGCAGCCCTTAATTAAAAATTACAAAAGAACGTAAACCACCAGCAACCTGAATGATAAAGTACTTGTCGAATTTGGCTTCCATGGCGCAATCAGATCTCTTATTCTATTTTTCGTACATCCGTTATGGAATGTTAATCCCGAGACGCGACTCGAGACACGAGACAAATTCTGGCTCTTTTCGAAGATTCGTATTTTAAAAACGACTCGAAATGAAGAACTGTCTGAAATTTCCTTTTCAAATTAAGCCAATGTCGATTTTTAAGTTAAATTAATTTAATTAAAAAATATGAATTGATGCTTAAGCTCAAGTCCTGAAAATATGTATTTTAATTTTGAGTTTCATATGCTTGCTCATGCAGCAGAAATGTTGCTGTTTTTGAGAAATAGTCCATGATTAACATTTTATATCAATTTGTAATAATATCTACACCATTTGGTCATTTATTTCCATACATTTTGTAAATGGTTGACGTCACTTGTTTCTTCAAGGGCATGAAATGAAACTTTCCAAATTCCGACAGTAA